GTTACCAGCACGCTGACATTTAACAGCGAGCTTCCAGCCTCTCTCTCCCAGGATACTGGAGCCCCCTCGGCTACTTATCTCTTGCTATATTCGTATTTCCCTACTCAGGAAGTGCAAGTTTAATAATAGCCTGGGTGTCTCGGGTAACCAAGGGCTCACCTCCCTTTTCTGAGCAGCCCTGAGGAGAACTTGAGTCCCAGGAGGCATTCCATTCCCTTCCTTTCCCCTCCACTTACTTCGTCCTGAAGTGAGGGCTGAAGTGGGCACAGCATCTGGGTGCAGGCGGAAGCCTCCCTCTAGCCAGGGCTGAACTTGAGAGGAATCTTAACGGGCACTAGTAAATGATTGGCTCATGAGGCAGTATAGCACAGGGGTTAGAGAAAGACCCTGGAGGTAGACTACTCAGATTCACATCCTGGCCAAGCCACGTATTAGCTGTGTGCCTTTGGACAAGTTACTTAACTTCTCTGTGACTCATTCACCTCATCCGTGCAAAGGAGACAATAAAAGTACCTGCCTCATGGGATTATTGAGAGGAGCAAATGAATTGATTTATGTAGAACGCCTAAAACACAGTAAGAGCTTTATAAAGATAAACTTATTTTGTTATGAAAGGAAGTTCAGGGACAGCACACGGATTAACCAGAAGGGACGTGGGCTAGGGACACAACAAAATGGAGACAACCCCTCCTCCCCTCAGTGCAGGCACGAGCAATCTTCTCAGGGGTAAAATTAGATTGAAATGAAGCTCAAGATGAGGAAGGGGCAAAGACACAAGTGGGCAGCCTTGGTGGGTCTTCCGAGGGGTGACAGCTTGGTGGTGATCCGGGGTTTAGGGCCATTGTGGACTGATTTTTCTGGACACAGGAGCAGCCTCCTTTAGGTCCTCTAGTCTCCTCTCACAGGGGAAACCTCGCTGAGGCTGCCCACAGGGACGAGTGGGACTCCAGTTTATCACAGCGCAGAGAGAGTCCGCTTAGTATTTTGTCGTTGTTGTTCCTGTTGTCTTGATTAGCATTTCCTCAGATAAATATTCTAAGTGGAACATACTGGATTCTTTTGATTCTTTCTGTCCTATTGGATTACACGGACTGTTCCTAGATGCACAAGAAGTTGCACCAAGGACAGGTCATTGGATTGGAGGTAACTGAATTAGATAGCTGGGCAGTATGGGCTCGGAAGAACAAGGTGTTAAGAATGAGTCTCATATTCTGATGAGGGCCATTGTGTGTACTTAAATATTCCCTGGCACCTAGGAGGTGCTCGATGAACGTTCATGGAATCAATGGGTGCATGCATGTGTGCACGAATGACCCTTTTATAACTCAGGCACTTTGTTTTTCCAATCATGAGGGCAGAGACCTGTATTCTGATTTTTTATTCTCTCTCTCTTTGCTCTAGCAGGATCCTGGACTTGAAATAGGACCTCAGTAAATATCTTGTAGAATTAAACCGAGTGATGCACAGCGAGAGTGACACCATTATCTATCATTCACTGTAAGATCCTGTCTATGTCCTGACTACTCTATGCCTAGAGAACACCAGAAAGAAAACAAAAAAGCCTTAGCAGTTGAACTTCACCTCTAACTATCTAGGTGATCTTAGCCAGTCACTTTATTTTTACCGTGAGTTTTATCGTCAGCAAAAGGAAGGGCTAGGACTAGATAATTCCTTTCTGGAGGCCTGTTTTGGTCTTAACACAGCGCTCAGGGTCAGAGCCAGTACCTGCCCTGCACCCTTTCTCTGCCATGGATTAACTGTTTGATTGGCAAAGGTGTGTGGCCCCTCCCATCCCCTACTACCTGTCAGGGCTGTCTGGACACCCTCTGGTTTGAAATTGCTGAGAATACACCTCGGGGTCCAGGGCAGTGGAAAGGCAAAGGTGTTAGTCAGGGAGTCCTGGGCCAAATCCCTGAGTGTTAACTAACTAACTGCAGAACTTGGGCAAGTTATTAACAGCTCCAAACCTCTGTTTCGTCCCCTCTAAAATATGGGTAACAATTATCCCTGCCTCACCAGTTGTGATCAGGATGTGAAGAGATCATGTTGGTGATACACTGCCCAGTGACTGGTGTTGGTATTATAACTTCATTATTATGTCATACAAACTGCAGGAACTATTTATCCTTCCCCAGCACGGTCTAGATTGGGTTTCCCTTACCCTCTTTTTATCTGCTTGTCTGTCTAAGTATTATCCTTCGCTTCCTAGATTCAGTGCTTCGAACAGTCAAATAGTGTCATTAGTTGACATTGCATCCATTTTTACAGCCATTTGCTGGTTGTCATCCCAAATCCTATTATTGTGCTGCAGAAGATAGTTTGGGTAGGTGGGAGATATACCTCTCTCTCATTATTGGGGAATAATATAGTATTTTTCTTAATACAGTCGTCTCCCTTTATTCATGATTTCGCTTTCCATGGTTTCAGTTACCTGCGGTCAACCACAATAAGAAAATATTAAATGGAAAATTCCAGAAATAAACAAGTCATAAGTTTTAAATTGCCTGCCTTCTGAGTAGCATGATGAAATCCCCCCCCTTCCCTCTCCACCCCTGCCTGGGACGGTATGTCACAATGCCTCCGTCATTCCCCTCCCTTCATCTCATCACCTAGGCGTTGTGTCATCTCACGTCCTCACAAGAAGAAGGGTGGGTACAGTGCAATCGGATATTCTGAGAGAGAGAAAGGCCACACTTGCATAACTTTTATTACAGTATATTGTTATAATTGTTCTATTTTATTAGTCGTTACTGTTGCTAACTCTTACTGTGCCTAATTTATCAATTTAAACTTTATCATAGGTCTGTATATATAGAAAAAGCATAGTATAGATAGGGTTCGGTACTGTTTGCAGTTTCAGGCATCTACTGGGGTCTTGGAACGTGGCCCTGGCAGATGAGGAGGGACTACCCGTAATTGAATCCAGACAGACTTTCTGCATCAGCAGGCACAAACAAACTTTTCTCAGAGGGACTAAACTTTAAGTCTGATTTCTCTGGGAATCCCGCTTATGAGGAACCAACAGATTGGTCCTCTTTTTCTGAAATATTTCCTCCACCACAGGTGCTTTGCTGAGGAACCTGGGGACATTAGGTGCCCTATGTTTGAGGCCAAAGGAGGTCTTGGCCTAGCAGACACTTCATGCTTTGAAGGATTCAAAAGAGATAGAAGATTTGGTCCCAGCCCCAAGAAGCAAACAACTTGCCCGGCGAGACAAGACGTGCATAAATCAAATAACTAGAGAAAGATGTATTTAAAATGCATTTTAAAAATTCAGCTCCTGTTCCTAGATTTAAAGGTGGTAAATACTGAGTATCCAAGGACAGCGTCATAGAGGAAGTGGGGGCTGAGCAGACCTCAAAGAAAGGCGAGGTGGGAATTAGCAAACGAGAGTGGCCAAGGGCTGCTGGATCCCGGGAAGTCAGTGTGTGGGCCTGGAGGCACATGGAGTGTAGGAATGCCATGGGGGTGGAGAGAGAGAAGAGGAGGGGGCCCTTCTGCCATGCTGGGGGCAGTCAGGTCCGTGTGTGCGTGTGTCGTGAACAGATAGAGCTTGGGTCTGAGCTTTTATAGCAGGGGGCCTGTGTGGGGCCTCTGGGGAGTAGGTGAGGGGTGGCAGGACATCAGGATTTAGGAAGATCAGCAAGGCAGCTGGAGTGTTGCTGGGAGGCAGGCAAAAGCAGCAGCTCTTCCAGAGCAGCACTGGAGGCCTGCGGTGGCGAGCCAGGAGGGACGGGGCAGCACTGGAGAGTGAAGGGCTGGACCACGGTGAAGGGAGTGTCTGTACGGCTGGAGGATCTTGCCTGCTGTGGATTAACTGTTAATTGGCAAGGGCATGCAGCCCCACTTTCGCATGGGATCAGGGTTTAATTGGAGAATACTGTTTGGGACTGTTGGCTGTCGATTTTGAGTCTTCCATGTTTAGGGATGGTCACCGTTAACATGTGTATTAGTTCCCTGTGGTGGCTGTAACAAATTGCCACAGATTTGGTGGCTTAAAACAACTCATCTGGATGCAGGGGTGCTCCTCTGAGCTGGCTCACCCCATTCCGATCGTGTGCTCTCCCACCACACTTGCCTGCATTCGTAGACTTTATTTTATTGTCCCCAGCTCTTACTCTCTCTGGCTGTCATTCATCTTCAATACAAACACGTGTTCCTGGTGGCAGGGCCTTGATGTGCGTGGTGTAGGTGACTGAGGAACAACCACCCAACTGACCTGCATTATTCCCATTCGAGAAGGCAGCTCACTGGGGCACCTGCGCTGTAAAGCTCACGTTAAGCTGGCAGTGGAGCAGGGAGGTTAAGCTCACAGATTTCAGAGCCAGACAGCCTGAGTTTGAGTCTGGCTATGCTTCTCACCTGCTGTGTGACCCTGTACAAGTCACTTCAGCTCTCTGTGCCTCGGTTCCCTTATCTGTAAAATAGGGACCACCATAGTACTTACCTCTTGTGGTTTTTTTAAACGAGGATTAAATGCATCTGTGTGTGTGTGTGTGTAAATATATATAATATGTAAAGTGTTGATAATAGTTCTTAGCACATAGTAAGTGCTATGTGCTGTTTACTTAAAAAACAATACCACAAAATAGCACCAAAGGGCATGTGTTTGGTTCCTGTGGTGCCTGCATCTGTGGCTCACTGGGGCCAGGGCCTGTGTGACATAGGCTTCTCAGTAAGAAGACAGTGGGCCCTTGGAAACGTGGCAACAGTAAGACACCAGGCTGTGCTGAGCATTCACCTCTCAGTGGGGTCCCTCTCAATGAGGTCCTACACAAGAATACTTGCTCATAAAAATACTAGAAGGAAGGGAGGCTGGGCTTGAAGGCAGCCTGACGTTACGGACTGGCCAGGGGCTCCAGGCCCATACCGCACCTGGGTACCAAAACAGAAGGGTGCAATGGATGCCACCACGACCTTGCCCCTTTGTGCAGCCCTGGGCTGGAATGGGACTCTTGTTACCACTTGGCACACTCACAGCCTGCTCTTTCTCCTCACAGGCTGACGCTGCTACCAGCTTTCTAAGGGCAGCAAGATCAGGTAACTTGGACAAAGCTTTGGATCACCTGCGGAATGGGGTAGACATTAACACCTGTAACCAGGTAAGTGGGATGGGGACAGGCATGTGGTCTTAGAAGAGTGGCTCTTGCCTGCTGCCATTTCCTGAGAGCTTTAATTTGCCTCTGTTAACTTTTTCCTGGTGGCCTCAAAAATCCCCAAGGGCTTCCGCCTGCTGAAGGCCCTAACCTTGGTGTTCACATCCCTGCCGTGGTCCAGGGCCCCACAGAGAAGGGCTGATGTCTAAACAGTGTGTGCCGAGCCTGGGCTCCATCCCCTGCGGCCTCTTCCCTTAGAAGTTGCCATTGGTCCCCGCTGTGGTCTTAGAATATGTGGCCTTTGAAAGTAGGCAGGAGGAAGGGCCTTTGAAGGATGCTGTGTCAGTGGTGACATTAAATCTCCTTTGTCCACCAGCAGCCTTTGTGGGTTCTCTGCTGGGCTGAAGAGGAAATAGCGATGAGGACTCGCTCTGTCAGGGTGTGGACGAAGGCGAGTCTGGCTCAGGCTGAGAACCAACGTGGCTTAAACCGCTTCTCTGGAGGTGCCTGGTTTTAAGTGACAGGGGCTTGGTTTCAGGAGGGGGTGGTCAGGAAACTTAATGTGTTCAGGACAGATTGGAGGGCAGAGTCAGATTTGGGGCCAAAGATGTAGGAATTGACTGAATAGAGAGGAAATCATCCCTAGAAAGAGAATGGGGGTGTGGCTGGGGCTTGTGGATTGGATGACTTTTGTTTTGGTTTGTTGTATGTCTTTGCCAGCCATTTAAGGTGTTCGGGCACACAGGCTAATTCAGTTTCTAATTTAGAATAAATTTACCAATTGTGACCTTTTTTAAACCATCTTAACCATTAAAAAATGTTTTTAATTGTGGTAAAATGCACATAACATAGAATTTACCATCTTAATCATTTTTAACTGTACAGTTCTGTGACATTAAGTACATTCATATTGTGGTACAGCAATCACTACCATCCGTCTCCTGAACCCTTTTCATCTTGCACAACTGAAACTCTGCACCCATTAAGCAATAACTCCCCATTCCTGCCTCCCGCCAGCCCCTGGCAACCATTCTACTTTCTGTCTCTATGAATTTGACTACTCTAGGTACCTCATATAAGTGGAATCATACAGTATTTGTCCTTCTGTGACTGGCTTATTTCACTTAGTGTCCTCAGGGTTTGTCCATGTTGCAGTGCACTGGATGACTTTTGCAAGCCAGCAGGGGCAAATTCCTGGAATGCAGGTTAACTTCTCTACCAGCCTCTGTCCCCCTGTCCCCTCAGCCTCTCTTCCCTGCCCTGCACCCCCAAGTAAAATGCAGAATACCACTTGCTCTCTCCTGGGGCCCAGACTCCGTTTGGATTCAGTTGGTGTTCTGTGGTATAAATTCACAGCTAAAAGATCAGAGAGGATGGAGCAGGTGGCGTGTGATAAGAAACAGAAGGAGGTGTGTGATATAAAGCAGAAGCCATGGCAGTGAAGTTCAGAGGGGAAATCAAGCTATGGACTGGACTTGAGTACCAAACTGGATGAGGAAGAGCAAGCGCTCCTCCTCTTCTTACATCCCTGCGCCCAGATTTACCAACACACACATATCAATGGGTTTAAGGATGTTTGCAGCGATTCTGACCATACAGAGCTAAAGGTTGGCCTTTGGATAATAGCAGATGGAAGCTCCGAACTCATTTCTTTCTTGGGGAGAGGCTATAGGAGCAAAGTATGGGGAGCAGAGTGAGTCTGGGATCAGAGTGGCTCAGTAGAGGGGGCTCAGGGACCGTGTCAACACCACCCCCCAGAAACAGCTGTAGGAGCTGTGGTCGTGTTGTCCCCAGCCCCCCGCCAGTGAGGGGCTGCATTCCCAGGCGGGGCGGGCGCGGAGAGATGCAGGTCTGAGCTTCCTTTGTTCAGGCCGTGGCTGCAGAAACCCAGAGAAGCGTTCCTCCGCAGTGCAGCTCCGGCTAAGGAACGTGAACCCTCAGAGGCCGTCCAGGGGTTAAGACGCCAGCTCTCAAAGGAATCCACTTAGCAGAAATGGGGACAACTGAACGTTCATAAGCCTTGAGCCAGGGCTCATTTTCAGTGTGAAATTGGAAGATTTTGATGACACCCGGGGAATGGCTTTGTCCTGACTGGTCTCCTGTCGGTGAGGCCCTGGATGTGACTGGCTTGTCCCTCCACCGTCTCTCCTCAGAGCACCTCCTCGGTTCATGTTGGCTGCAGAGCAGCAGGCACGGAGGCGTTATTTGCACTTTATTGACACCATTTCCCATCGGCTCAGCACCAGTGACAGGGAGGCTCTAGCCTCAGACTGGAGACTGCGGTCCTGGCTACGACCTGCCTCTTTCTTTCAAAGAGGAATATGCTGCCAGCCAGGAAATGAATGTCAGAAGGGAGTAAAAGGGAGGATTTGCTCTGGTGTGAAGCCCGTCGCTGCTGGTTTATCCCCGGGGCTCCTTCACCCCGATCTTGGGCCCTGTTAGTCTGTGTCTTGTGCTCTAGGACTGCCCAGGGGCAGGGAGGTGCAGACCTCATCCTGGTTTATAGGGCGGCTTGGCCTCTGCTCTTGAGTGGAGGGTCGGGTAATGGGGGAGGACTCTGGAAGCTGAACTTCCGCCCTCATTAAACACATTAGTGTGCCCATCGGGACAATGCTGCTGCTTTGCAATGGCACAGGGCCAGACTCGTAATGGAACTGGAGCTTTCTTCTCTTTAAAACATGCCTTTATTGTTTTGAGATGATAAAAACAGGCTCTTGTCCTGGGGTCATGGCTCGAGAGTGTGTTTTGGCTTGAAACCTTTGAGCTGGTGGACGGTGAGAGCAGTCCTACAGCCAATGCTGACCCTTATATAAGTAACACACTTTCCAATAGCGTGTTTTATGGAAAGAAAACGGACTGCTTGCCATAATAGGAAGTAATTACTCTAAGTAGTACGAAAAGAGAAACTCTGGGCTTATATAAGAGACATCTGAATTTTCAGGGTAGTTTCCTCATTGTGTAGACTGTCTACTAATTTTTATCGTCATCTCATTATTATACTTATAGAAAGGATGAAATTCACACATAAGGACACACACACACACACGCATGCACCCATATCTCTATGAATGCCTGATTCTTTCATTTATTCAAGAGCTGTTCAAGCTTTAGACCCATGTAGCCAGGGTCCTCTTGTACGTCTCCACATGTACATGGAGTGCTAGGCCTTAGGGATTTGATAGTACAAAAAAAAGTCCTAGTCCTCATCCTTTCTGGACTGTAGTCTACTGGTAGTGAGAGCTCTTAGTCAAATGATCACATAAATAGATATGCAAACCAAGCTATGTTAGGATTATATGAGAATATATAGGAGAGACTTGACCTAAAGTTGAAGGTCAAGAAGGCTACCATGAGGAAGAGATAGTTAAGTTAAGGGATGAGTAGGGTTAATGAGTTGAAGGAAGAGAAGAACATTCCAGTGATGGAGAATGGGCTGTGCAAAGTCCCTGAGGCAGGGAAGAGCACGGAGGGTTTATGGAAGGCCAGAATGGCTGCAGGGCAGAGAGCAAGTGGGACCAGATGAGGCTGGAGAGGTGAAGTTGGGATCGTGCTGGACCTTACAGGCAGGGGCGATAGTCACAACAGTCAACAACTAGGGCAATGTGCCCCAGGGCCGGAGCAGTGTGTGTGCATGCACGTGTGTGCACCTTGTGTGCGTGAGGGTGTGTTTCCCTGCTGCGCCATATGTTAACCTTGTATTTGCTGGTTGAGGGGAAGGATCTGGGGGAGGTGACAGAGTGGCCAGAGCAGCAGGGGTGCTGAGGCAGTAGCTATTGACCGAGAGGAATGGAGGCATTTCAGCATTTAACGACCTGTACAGCCGTATCAGCGTGTCCTGGTAGACTATCCACTCTGCTTACAGAAGCCGTGTTAAGGATTTTGAGTTTTATCCTAAGAGCAGAAGGAAGCGAACCACCGACGCAAGCTCAGGAGTGATGTGATAGGAGCTGTGCTCTAAAGGGTCACTCTGGCTACTGTGTGGGAGACAGATGGATGGGCCCAGGTGTGGATGGGGAGCCAGTTATGAGACTATTGCAATAGTCCAGGAGAGAAATGTCGGTAGCTTGGAGAAGGGTTGTGGCTGTGGAGATGGAACAAAGTGAACAGGCCTGGGTGATGAATTGTGTAGGGGAGGGCAGGGAAGGAGGCTTTGAGAATGAGCCTCTGGTGTCTGGCTTATGCAGGGGTGGAGAGTGGCGCCATTCACTAGACAAGGAATGCTGGGAGCAGACTTAGTGTGTGGAAATGGGGTGAGGAGGCAATAATAGAGCTGTGTGGAGATCCTGTGAAGGAGTCTTTGAGGACTCTAAGTGAAGAGATATAGTAAGCAATTGGATATTTGAGCCTGGAACTCAGATAAGAGGTCCAACCCAAAGGTAGATATCTGGAAGTCATTCAGCAGTCCAGGAAGTCAAATGCTGGTGTTGGCCGATGAAAACTGGGATGGAAGGCATGTTGAATATAATACCACCAGTGTCTTTGTGGGGGTCAGTCCACATGTATTTATTAAACACCTACTTGGTGCCAGGTACTATTCTAGGCACTGAACAAGACAGACAAAATAGACAAAGTCTGTGCTCTGGTGACATTTATATGCAGGTAAAGAAGACAATAACCAAGAAAATGAACAAATATGCAATGTCTCCTCCTACCACAAAGGAGAAACGTATTTTAGATGGGGCAGTTAAGGAAGGCCTCTCTAAGGAGATGACTTTTGAGAGACCCAAAAGAAGTAGGAGTGAACCATGTGGTTTCTGGGGAAGAGCACTGCTGGAAGAGGGGGAAACAGGTGCAAAGGCCGTGGTGGGCAGGAGTAAGCTTGGTTTGTTTGGGGAATAGCAAGGACAGTGTAGCTGCAGTGGAATGATGGAAGGGAAAAGTGGGACATGGAGGTGGGAGGAATTGCCAGGGCCAAATCTTGAATGGCTTGTGGGCCATGGTGTGGACCTTTTACTCCAAGGGTGGTGGGAAGCTGTTGGAAGGTATCCCACAAGAGATGCTCAATC